TAGCCGGGCATGGTGGCTCACGCCTGTAACCTCAGCACTTGAAAGGCTGAGGCAGGAGGATCTTTCCGAGTTCGAGACCAGCCTGGGCTAAAAAAGTGGGCTCAAGAGAGCCTGAACTGCTTAACAAGACCCTGTCTCAAAAAGAAAAGAAAAAAAAAACCTCAGAAACACCCCCCCCGCCCCCGCAAAAAAAAAAGCAACCATTCAGCTACACTCCCATACAGTCCCTGCCCCACCAGGATGCTATTTCTGCTGTTGTAGACAATGGTAATTTCTGCACTCCGAGAGGCTGAGACAGGAGGATCACAAACTGAAACGCAGCCAGGGCTAACTAGTGGCTTAACAAGATGCTGTCTCAAAACAAAACATTAAAGAAGAAAAAAGGCTGAGGATGTAGGTCAGTGTGAAGGCCCTGGGTTCAGTGCCCAGCACTGGGTTTGTACGTGTACACACACACACACACACACACACACACACTGATGAGCCTGCACCACAGTGCAGAGTTATAAAGGGTTCTCTCTTGGTGCTTTGTATTCAGGGGTTCTCACAACTGCATGATGCCACATGTCCGGCATTATTGCACCGTGCAGAGGGTTTTCACTGCCCTGAAACTCCGCGCTCCTCTTCCTCCTCCCCCTCCCCCTTCTCCTCCCACCCCCGTAGCCTCTGCTCTTTTTGCCTCTTCCTCAGCCTGAGGGTTGGTATTTCTTTTTTCTTTTTCTTGGTACCAGGAATCAAACTCAGGACCTTGTGCTTACCATGCAGGTGCTTGTGCCACTGAGCTGTATCCTCGGCCCTTCAGCCTCAGGGTTGGAACCACACAGCACAGCCTCGAAGCCCGGCTTCTGCACTTGGTGCTGGGCCTCGCCCTTTGCCTGCGTCATTGCCCAGCCTGGGAGTCCGGTTCTGTTCCGTGCTGAGCAACCTCCCATCCTATGGGGATGCGCCAGTCATGGTGCTACACGCCTGTCATCCCGGCACTCTGGAGGCTGAGGCAGGATTGCCACGAGTTCAAGGCCAGCCTGGGCTACGTAGTGAGACCTTGTCTCAAAAATAAATAGATAAATAAATAAATAAATGTGGTTAAAGATGCTGCCCAGTATTCCTAGCTTAAAGCTCAAAGTGGAGTGGCTCAGTGGTAGAGCTCTTCCCTTGCATGCACAAGGCCTTAGGTTCGATCCCCAGCACCACAAAAATTTTTAAAAAGTTCAAAATGGAGTCCAAATTATCCTAACTCAGGCAATGTGGGTTGGGATCTGTACTTCAG